AGCACTTATCTCTGTGTCTTCATATACAACAACAAAACTGTCTTAACTTACTCTATGATCATGTAAGCCATACTATCTGTCACCAGGGTGTGTGTGCTCATTTCTTGCTAATAAGTAAGTCTACATGCCTGCATCTTTGAATAATGAGGCATTTGTTATCAATTGTAGCTCCCCAAAGGCCAGAAGAACTGTGAACCTCTCTCTCAAGGAGAAATAAGAGATGCACAGACACAGCCATAAAAGCTTTTGGCCATGAACAAATTAGACCTGGTGATTCTCAAATCATGAAAAGAGACCCCCTACTCCAGAGACAAGGAATGCAAGATAAATAACTTTGTTAAGCTTCAGTTTTAATAAACTTGGCAAACATACTGTAAATGTAAAAATTTGATAAAAATCACATTTTTATTTTGAAAAGAAAAACAACCACCTGCATTAAACCTCAAGACGCAAGGGATATCAAAGAAAATGCCTATTGATATCACTTGTTTGATATTGAATTACACATTTATTTATAATAGAAACAGATGGCACAGTCAGAATTCTGATTACAAGAAGCATTACTGTAAGAATTTAGTGAATAGATTATTCTGATCCAACTACATTCTGTTCACACTTTACACAAATGATTGTACAATCAGTAGTCAAAGCAACTTCATTTTCAAATTCTCAGCTGTTCTTGGCTTAATGCACAGAGGTAGCTGCTCATCTGTATACTTGTCAGAAATCCAAAGGTTTGTGCAATTGTGTGACAACAATCGCTTTATTCTGAATGTTTGCTCCAGAATTCAGCAGCGCTTATATTTCCTGCGAAGACTAAGAGTGTTTGGGGTTAGACAGGAAGGAATGCTACTCTTTTACCGTGCTGTAATCCAGAGCATTATCAGATATGGTATTACAGTGTGGTTTGGTAATCTATCAGTTCATTTAAAATCACAAATTACCTGCCTCATCCAGACAGCTTTGAAGGTCATGGGAGTGAAACAGCATCCTTCCCTGCAGACAATCTTTGAAAAATCCATAATCAAACAGGCAGGAAAAATTATTTCAGATCCTTCCCACATCCTCAACCCTGAATATCAACTTCTTCCTTTTTGCAAACACTTTAGGGTTCCCAAATGTACAGCAAGTCAAACAGATGCAAACATTTCTTTGTTCCACTATCCATTAAAGGCCAACGCCAATGTCAAGGATAAACACAATTTTGACTCTGACAACCCACTTGAGGGCAATATGTGATATGATGTGTTATAAATGTTACATGTTGTTATGTGTTATACAGTACTGTACATGTGCAATAAGGTGATGTGCAACGTTTTTCTTATTTTTTGTAATAGAATAATATGCAATGTTTTTCTTTTCTTCTTTTTTTGTTTTTGTTTTTGCATTCTTTTTAAATGTACAGGAGTGCTGGGTGTCCATAAAAAAACTCCCTCAGGGGACAATAAAATCTTATCTTAACTTACATTGATTGAGGACACAAGGCTGGAAAACCAAGTCATCCCTCTAGTGGCTAAATGAGGTACAACACTATCTCATTGCTGAGAATGGATGAAGCACTGGATGGGTTGCCACATCACATACTCCATTCCCTTAGAAAAAAAGATCAACTCAAAATAGTCCATTAAAATTAAAATTCAGGACCATAAGTATTCAAGGAGACATCTACTGTTGTTGTTTGGTATAAAATGAATGGGCAAAACATGGGCAGTCTGATGTGTCGGTCCTGCTCTGGTTTGGTCACTTAATGGCTACCAGACCTTGGACGGTCATCTGTCCTGCCAGTCTGCTGAAACCAGCATGCCAATGGACCTCTTCCTTGCTTCTGGTGGCATTCTAGGCATTATGGAATGCACAGAAAACTGAATAAGTGTGGCCCTTTCTTGCAGTGACCTATGCTTTGAATAATGCCTTTTTAGAGGTGACCTGATCAGGCATTGTTCCACCTGGACCTTGTTGGATAAAAGTGCACCCAACGAGCTTTCGTGTGATTGGCAAGTTGCAATGTCTCACTGCACAAGCTGTATTGCTGGTCACAGGGCTTGACAACTTTTGACAACTTTTAGTGAAGTACATAAGCTATAGCTATAACTAAAACTATAGTATAATATAGTGTCTTTCCTACTCTGGTGTGGTCTTTCGACAGCGACCGGATCTTGGACGGTCATCTGTCCTGATGATCTGCTGAAACCTACTTTGCAGTTGGGACACAGTCTTGTTAGATCAGGAGGACAGCTGGTGTGCTGATTAAGTTCTAGGGCACATCTGATTCAGTGGTGGAAATGCAAAACGTGTTATACCACAAGGCCATCTGGCCCAGTTTCTTGAAAGACGTGGAATACTCATGGAAAATATATAATGTATACTGATGGAAAAAAGAAAAAGTCCTCCACACTTTGGCCCTCCCACCTCCGTGGAACAGGCTGAAAAGTGACTCATCC